AGATTAAATCTCATGCCAGGAACCTCGCAGTGGGCTTCTCAGATCCCTGACCGCCACGGGTGAGTGAGTGCACGGCAGGTGAGGGCCTGAGCCGGCCCTGGGAGGAGGCTCTGTCACGTGCAAGGGGAGTCGAGGAGCCCGGAGGCAGCCATGACGTCCTGCACTCGGGGCGATGACGACCACACTAGCAACCGTGCAGGGCACTGTGCAAAATGCTTTACGTGCATTATGACGCCCATTTCACAGACAAGAAAGTCAAAGTGAGTCATCCTCAGGAATGTTTGCGGTCATCAGTGGAGCAGGGAGTTGGACCTAAGCGGTCTGGCTCCAGAGCTGTGCTGGTTACCATGGCTGCATGGAAATCCACCCATGGAGTGAGAGACTAAGAAAGTTAATATGCTACGAATTGTGTGGGCCAAGAGACTGGACAGGGCTGGAAGAGCTCTCTGTTCCCCTGTGTCTGAAATCTCAGCTGGGAGGTGCATAAGGCCAAGACCTGGGCTGCCAGACAGAAACGTTCGCTTCCAAGACAGTGACCTCCCTCATCTAACGTGGGCCGCCTGACTCCAGCACTGAGTCGGCTGGGACCTCCAGTCAAGCACCTGCCAATGCTTTCTCCTTGTGATCTGGACTTCTTAGAGCGTGAAAGCCAGGTTCTAAGCAGGAGGTTTCCAATCAAGCCAACGAGAAACTGCAGGCCTTGTATGAGCCAGGCTTGTGACTCATATGAAGTCATCTGTCCTCCACTGGTCAGAGCAGTCACAAAACTGCCCAGGTACGAGGGGCTGCGAAGATGATCTCTGCTGGGCTCCAAACCGTAAGACAAATCGTTGCCCTTGACTACATCCCAGTTAGTTCGGGGAAGACAGTGATGTGGAGGATTACAGGGCTGGGGTGCAGCTTGGCGGTGGAGAGTTTGCCTAGCATATGTAAGACCATGGCACCTAAAAAACCGAAACATTATGGTGCAGCGTGCCTGGTGCTCCTGAGGCCTCAGGAGCGCTGGTGCATGGAGCTCATTGTGGGAACAGGCGACAATGACACCCTCAGCCTAAGCGTTCTTTCCCACAGCTGGCCGTGCTGAGTTCTGGGGTGACCCAGCCTCTCAGCTGGGGTGGGCGGAACATTCCTGTGATAAGCGGGGTGTTTCCCGTGGTTCCAGAAAAGCCAGCAAAGTGACTCATCCGATAACCTCCCGGCAAACCGCCCCCTTGTCAAAACTGGTAGATGCGAAGAAGGTGGTAGCCAATGCCATCGTGTGAAGCGCAGGCTCAGAGGGGCAGAGCCTCTTTGCAAAGCTCTGAAAAAGTCTCTGAAGCTCTTAAGGAAGGGGACCTAGAGGGCAGGAACCCAATGCCGCACCATCGGTGCCATCTTGCCTTGATCTTCCATTTGTTTCCTTCTTCGTCCCCAGTGTTTATCCTGCACCCCGAGGGTGCCCTGGGGCACAGAGCAGAGCAGGTGTCTGCCTTTAGGAGCTGTAACGATTTCAGGGCACTGCAGGGTGGTTCTAGGTTTTAGGCCCTGGAGCCAGATCACCCAGAATCCAGTTCTCTTCCCATTTTGCCGGCTCAGAACTTGTTTCTTCATCGTTATGCTGGGGACAGTAATAGTATCTTTGGCACATATCTGTCTAAGTGAGATTTGGTTTGCAAATGCAGCTGCTGCAAGTGAGAGTGACGGCAACCTCCGCCTCCCCTCCGGGCCTTCTAAGCTCCTCTGGGGTGAGGTCCACACTGCCCCTCTTGCACGGCTCTCAGGGCCCTCTGAGCAGCATGTGGAGCTGGTGCAGTATAAATACCTGTTGAACATTTAGGGCTGAACAGCTCTGGACTTGCAGCGAGAGGCCCTCCCTTCCAGCTCCTCGCCCGCAGCAAACCTGCAATCTCCCTTAGCCTCAGCATCTTCCTCTTCGTAAGGGGACTGATCCATCTGAGGGCTGCGAGGACATGAAATCATGCATGAAAAACGCCTTGTGTGGGGCGACGCCCACTGTCGGCTTGGACGAGTGAGGGCTGCTGGTGGACTCAACACTTCCCCAGTCCAGAGCTTGCCCCGCAGGGTGAACGCACTTTGTTTGAAGCAGAGTGCTGTGACTTCAGCCTCGGAGACAGCCGAGATCCTAACAGGAACGATCGCTGAGGGAACGGAGCTCATTGGCTCAGGTTGGTTTAAAGCCTCTCTCTGTTTCTCTGAAAAATCATCCCACAGAACTGGGCTCAGGGAAAGAGCCCCAGTGGAGATCAGCTGGGCTCCAGAATCTGAAGGTTTAGAACGAAGCTCGGTATGTGTGGCTGTGACCAGAGGCAGACGCTCCCCACGGGCTGCGCATGGCTAAGACACAGCTGGGTGGAGTGAGTCCGTCGTGTGTCACAGGCTGGTGCCTTTTTGAAGGTCTTCTGGAGCAGAGCGCCTCAGACTTACCGTGTACGACAGCCACCTGGGGATCCTGCACCAGATGCAAAAGCTATGATTCCGTCACTCTGGAGGGGGCCCCGGATTCTGCCTTCTGGCCGGCTCAGATGTGAGCCACGTCACCGGTTTGGAGACCACCCTGGTAGGGAGCCGAAGGCTGGCCCATCCTCTCGCCTCACCCTGAAACGCTGTTCAGAGCTGAGCAGAGAATGCTGCGCTCTGAGAGCTGTCACAGGAGGAATCTGTTTCCCAGAGCTCCCCGCGGGTGGGGGAGTGCGCACATCCGCAGTCGGCAGGGACAGACCGGCAAGGAGCACCAAACTCCATTTAGTGCGCAACCTGAGGCAGTGCTCACCCAGGGAGCCGGCCAGGGAAGGAGGGCGCTGCTGTCCCCAGCAGACGCCGGGAGGGAGCCGTTATCGACCAGTATCCAGCCGTTCGGGGAGTCCTCTCTGCAAAACATTTGAACAAGAAATCAAGGATCAACAAAAACAGCATTGCCTCCAGTTCCCCCTCATCAACCTTGCAATGAGGATATAATCGTGGCCTCCTCACTCGCGTGAGCCAGGAGGCTGCGGAAAGACAGCCCTTCCGGTCTACGGCCCCTCTGTCCCACCCACGCCGCTTCCTCCCGGCCCGGAGAGCCAGGCGCCTCTGCCCGTGGGCCTTTGCCCCCCTGGGCTTCTTGCTCACCAAAAATGCTCGTTCCCTTCTCTCTCCCGCTGCCTTCAACACCCGCCCTCATTTAGGGGCCCCTTCGAGTGACCCCGCTGCCCCCAGGAAGGGTCCTCTGCTTCCTGCCGTCTAAGCCCAAGTCCCCCACACTCTCCCACGGATAGCTCCCTTCACAGAGGGGATCAAGCCGCAGTCCTGCGCGTGTGCACTTCGCTGCTTGTTTCCTGCCTGCCCGCCACACTAGCAGGCTGCGCGTTGTGTCTATTTTTCCCTGCTCTGGGCCCAGGGCTCAGCCCTTTGCCCTGGCAGTGCTCAAGGGTCCCCTCGCAGAGCGCAGCACCCTCAGCCATTTTTCTTGCCACGCTTTGCCACGCAGAATGCCCACCGGGCACTGGGGAACACGGAGTCTCTCAGCTGCAGGGCCTGGAGATCAGGGCCAGCTAGTGTGGAGATGAGTACGTGTGCTTACACTTAGCGTGTGGCTGGGTGTGGTGGTGCACACCTGTCATCCTAGCTCTCGGGAGGCTGAAGCAGGGGGGTTGCCACAGACTCAAGACCGACCTGAACTGGATTGTGAGACCCTGCCTCAAAACACCAAATACAAAAAGCAAGAAGCCCAGGTGCATGTGAGTGGTTGGGTGTATTTATTTATTTAAGACGGGGACTTTGTTTAGTAATATTAAGTATTAGGACAGGCACTTTGCTTGGTGCACTTTGGAATCCCCAACCTTAGGAGCGTGTCGGGTTCCTAAAAAGGGCTGGATTTGCACTATCACGGCCCACTGCCCGCAGAGGCGAGGCTCGAGATTGTTTACTTATTGCAATTAGCATAATGCTAGGTACTTGTAGGTGATCGGTTACTGCTCGTCCCTGTTTCTCCTCTTTCCGTGTTTCCTCGCCCTCCTTAACTACCAAAGACCCTTTAAACAATTATTTTACCCTTCACGAACCCAGTGTTTAAGAAAGACTTTGCCCCTGACGTGACTGGTGGCAGACTCTCTTCCTCCGTGCAGTCAGTGACGATGATGGGTGCAGTGGTCAGTGTGCCCCAAGACATTCCGGGGCCCCACCACAGGCCCAGATACCCACACAGTGCGGCCGGCTGCCAAGGAGGCCTCTGCGCTCCGGCCCTCGTCCCCACTGAGCTGGTAAAACTCCAGCCCCAAGCGAAGACACTTGCCCTTTCCAGTCCCTCTGCCTGTGTAGATGAACACAGGAGAAGTATTTATCAGAAGGAAGTAGTACCGATTTCCACCGGCGCCTTCTAAACTCGTGGAGGACGCAGCCCCTCCCTGACCCTTCCCCACCTCGAGGCTGCCATGAGGGACCCCAGTCTGGGGACCGTGGGCCCACAGTGTTCCCTAAGCCTCCGTGATCAAGAGGAGCCCCAAGGAGGCATTTTTCAGGGTGTAGCGCTCGGTCACTTCTCTCCTCTGCTCCCAGGAGCGAGCTTTCGGGCCTAATTGGAATGAAATGTATTGTTTCCGCCTGATTTCCTCTGTGCCCTGAATGCACTTTAGGGTCGGGATGGACTGACTTCTGCTGACCCTCTCCCTGTCCTTAGTTTCATCGCACTGTGCGTGAGTCTCTTTTCTGTACCGAAGGGAGTAAAGGCGCCTCACTGGCACTGGCCATAAAGAAAAAGGAAAGAAAAGCCACAGCGAATGACAGTGGCACCAGTGAGCCTGGCTGGGGACGGATGAGGACGGACGGGGAGCACAGTGTGGCACCCCATGGAGCAGTGGGTCGACCTCCAGCCCCGCGAGCGCCACCTCTCGAGCCCCAGGGGCTTCTCCGGCCTGTGCAGGCTCTCGGGGCCTTGGCCTCCACTTGCAGCCTGCTCCCCGCTGTCTCTGCCTGGTTGCCAGCCCCAGGGTCACAGTTGGAGTCCTCACCCCATCCTCCTGGACCCTCTGTTCAGGGAGCAACTCCAAAGGCCCAAGGCAGGGGAGTGGAAGCAGGGGACCCTGGAAGTCAGGAACGGGGTGCCCCGCCATCCCCCAGTGCTTATTATCTTCAAAGCACTTTCTAGCTGCCGAGTGAGTCATCCTCTGTTCGTGCACAGGAGCGGGTGATTCTAACCTGATTTAACCCGTCAGTTGTGGCTGTCTGCGTCGCTCATTAACTCAGCCACTCCCCGTGATCCCCGAAAACCACTGTCCTGTGGCAAAAATCGCATGATGTGTCAGTCAGGGTGGGACCGGAACCGCCACAGTAACAGAAGGCCCCAGAGCCTCCGTAGCTTTCAACAAGGGAGATTTACTGTCACTCCGTCCCATGCCTGTGCAGCGCAGTGATGGCTCTGTTCAGTGTCATCTGCATCCAGGACCCAGGACGATGGGCAGGCAGCCTCTCTCTGGGGTGCTGCTGGGGAGAAGGGAACAGGTGAATTACAGGCGGATCCAAGTAAGCGACTGCACCCCTGAAGGATCTTCTCGTTTCGTTGACCAGAGGAGGTCCCGCGACAAACCTGCCACGGGAGGGAATATCACCCTCCCCCAGGCAGCAGGGGCGAACACGTCTGAAAAACAAGTCTGGTGCTGCTGTGGTGTGGGTGTGTCACCTCCAAAACTGAGGTGCTGCCAGGGCGACGGGGGTGCCGCGGAGGTAAGGCTCCTCCCCTGTGGTTAAAGTGGCTGTGGGGACGAGGCCGGGACCCCGCTGCAGGGGCCGGTTCTCTCTGATCTTCCGCCTTCAGCCTCGTGAGGACGCAAGAAGGACCAGACTCTCGGGTCGCTCTTGATGGTGGCACCTTGACCTTGAGCTTCCCAGAGTGTAAAATGCTGAGAAATTTCCCAGCCTCGGGTAGTCGGATAGCAACACAAAGACAATCATGATGGCCTTAGACTTGATAACTGTGAAAGCAAACAAGCAAGCAAACCCAAAAGTTTAGAAATTCCGATGTATTCACTTAGTGCAATAATAGCACAAACCGTGAGGTGTTTGTTTATGTTGGGTTATGGGTGTTTGTGTTATGATTATGTTTTATGACTTACATGTAGGCTATACATTATAGATATATGGGAGGCTAAACAAAGCGAATAGATATATATGCATCAAATATGACACAAGAATTTATTTACAAAATAAAGACTGCGAACTTTGACAACAGATCTGGTTCAAAGCCCAGCTCTGTCCCTACTGACCTTGAGACTTGGGCTCTGCTGACCCCATCTGCTCCATGGGCATGGTCATGGGGGGGGAGTCCCTTGAGTTCACCCTGAGGCCCCTCAGAGTGGCTGGAAGGACCCCAGAGGATGGACAGTCGGTGAGATGGAAGCTGGTCAGGAGCTTGTCTAGGGTCCTGCCCGCTCCCAGCTCTCAGATGGGCACAGCCCGGGATGGATTAGTCCCGCCTAATTGGTGCCCAAAGCCAAGGAACCGCCTACAGGCTCAGGCCCCAGGGCCAGACAGGACGTCCTTGACCTCCCACCCAAGTGGAGAGATGTCCTGTCCTGATCCAGGCACCGGGAGATGAATCCTGGTGTCTGAAGCCAGCAGGGGGCAGCTGGGGAGCATGGAGTGGGCTGGGTTAGGGGAGCAGGTCAGGGCTGAGATGCAAGTGCCTTGCCCTGACCCTGCAGCCCTCCTGAAAGTCACTGCAGACAGTTGATGTCCCTGCCTGTGGCTTCTGGGTCTCTGTGCCTGAGGACAAGTCACATGTTGAGCCCGCCACTTGGAGAAGCCAGTGGTGACAGAGAGAATGCCTCCGGAGCAGCCTCGGGCCATGGGCAGTGAACACTTCGGCTCTCCCCCGCTCCACGGAGACAGCCTCCCCGATCACCTTGCCAGCAGTGACCTCTCCCTCACCCACCCTCCTTGACAGACCCCCCATGCTTCCCAGTACCAAATCCCAAATACTTGTCTCAGGGTCTACTCTGCAAGGGATCCCCAAACTAAGACAGCTTCCTGGGCTGGTGCTTGCCTAGAGGGTACTTGACACTGATGGTCCCCTAGGACAGAATTTCCCCCATGGGACAGCTCTCATTCTGCAGGGTCTGCCTACCTGCCTCTCCTCCTGCCTTAGTTCGAACCCAGATTTCTCCTGTACCACAGAGGGATAAACTGCAGCTCATCAACCAAACCCAGCCCAGTGCGCATTTTTACTCACCCTGCCAACCAAAACTGTATACATTTCTCAGTGGTTAAAAGAATAATAATATTTCGTGGCATGCACAATGTGTGCAGAATTCAAACCAGTGGCCATAAATAAAGTTTTATTGGGATGAGCCATGTCCCTTCATGTACAGGCTGCCTGGGGCTCTTCGAGGACTGCAGTAGCTGAGCTGAACAGCTGGGACAGAGAAGACACAGCCTTCTGTGCTCAGTGTCTGTGCTGTCTTCCCTGACGCAAGCTTTTCAACCTCTTTCCTAACACAGTAAAATTGACCACTCTCACAGGATCACAGCCACATTGGGAAAAAGAGGTACCTTGTCTGCTCAAGTCACAGATACTCCTCTTTAGGAGTTGTCTGGAGCTGTGTTTGGTCTCCCTGCTGGAAAGAGTTAGGTAGAAGCCCACGCTTTAGAATCCAAGCCCAGCGGGAGAAGCTTCCAGCAGGTTGCCATGGGAACCCCGAGGGGACTTCCAGAACTTGCCTACCGATCTCCTTTCCCAGCTCTGCAAGTTTGGGTTTGGGTAAGCGAATCCAGCTTGGTCAGCTGGAATGTTCTGGAAACAGGCTGATGTGGGCAGTTGAAATTCCCCTTTAATGGAAGATTGAGCACAAAATGCTTCCTGGCTCTTCCTTGGGGAAAGAGCTTTTGCTTACACGCAGAGCCCATTTTCCTGATGGAGAATTCTGTCCTGAAAATGCCATGGAATCTCCCAGAATTGCCTCCTGGACGCTTGTCCCCACAGGTGGGACATCGTCCTGCAGCAAAGTGTAGGGACACAGCGCAGACTCTGACACTCATGACACGCTCTCCAACGTGACATTTTCAGTTTCTGATACCAAGTGTGAATCTTTTGTTCCCTCTGCCTGCCTTCCAGCAGAAGCACAGAGCGCTCTCTAAGCAGCCTGCGGGTCAGCACTGCAAAGGGTCTGAGTGGGTGACACTGGGCCTTGCGGGGTGAGACCTTCGGACCCCACAGCAGGCACTGGTGGACTCGGGACAGGTGCCTGGGAATCTGTTCTGACTCCCTCATACCTCTCGGTGTATGCAGATTAGAAACCACCGGGTTAAATTGTGTGCATGAACATGGGAAATATCCGTGGAATACTATTAATGTTGAAAAAGGTAAAATAGCTATCCTAACGGATACCCAGAAAAGTCCATGTTGTTCTAGGTTTCTCTTAGGAAAGAAAGAAAAAGGAGTTAAATTTTATAAATGATTATACCTTTTTATTTTTACTTTTCCAACTTGTTTAAATTTTATGCAGTGAGCAAGTATTTCTTTGCCCATGAGAAAACAGCCTCTGAAGTGATTTCTATGCTGGGGTCTCAGGGAGTGGGACTGTGGCTGGGCTCGCGGTGTCTGTGCCCTTGGATCCGGCCCTGCCTGCCGGCTCGAGGTGGAGCTGCGGTGAGGCGTCAGGAGACAGTGACATCTGCCCCAGCCCTCCCTGCCCACGTCCGCCTGTGCCCTCCGTTTCCCGTGCAGGGTCTGGGAGCTGTCCAGATCCCTCGGGGGCACAGCCGAAGCGGAGTCCGGGTCTCAGCCGGGGAGCCCAGCCTAGCACCTGCAGTGAGCACTGATCTCCTGGAACTGCGGGGAGGAAACGCTCCTGACAAGTGAGGGCTCAGTCCCTGCCCAGGGCTCCCCTCAGGCCAGCCAGGCCCTTGGATGCCCCGATGTCCTCTCTGCACTGTCTTTGTGGGGAAAACAGACATCCGACTCGCAGAGGCCTGGCAGACCCTGCCCCAGGCCCTGGATCACCTGGCAGCCTGTAATCTGGGTCTAGTTCCCCAAACAGCTTCTGAAAGGCCCTCTCTCCCTGACCCTTCCACCACCAGGCCACAGGGGTCTCCTGCAGGCCCAGCCGACCGAGGGGCTGTGCCCGGGCCAAACCACGTGACTCACCTTGTATCGCCAGCACCCACACCCCAAAAAAGCTTCTGGACAGAAGGAGGAAAGGAGGGAGGGAGGGGAAGAAGGGACCTCCCAAGATTATCCCTCATGTTCCTTCCACAGACATTAGTGAGCACTTACTATGCGCCAGAATCCGCTCTGGGTGGAAGGGTTTAATGACGAAGTTGGAGCTGGGCCCGCTTTCATGAGCTCGCAGTCTACAGGAAGAAGCCGCAATAAGCAAATGATAATTTTTAAAAAAAGAAGAAAAAACAGAGCTGGTCTCTGATAAGAGCTGCACAGGAGAGGCAGAAGGGCCTGGTGTCTGATCAGGGAAGGGGCCGGAGCTTCCCTGGAGAAGCAAAACCCTCACTGAGCACCAAAGGTTGAGGGAGAGGAAGGGCGCACACTGACACCCCCACCCTCCCTTCCGCCTCGCTGACCTTAACTGACCCCCGATCCCTCCTGCTGCCTTTCCTGCCAGGGTGGGCAGGGAGCTGGGAAGGTACAGACCTGAAAAATTCCCTCCCTGCAGTGTCCAACATCAAAACCTGACACCCAGAAGCTAAAAGGGGTCAAAAGTCAAAGCAGGCAGAACTGCTTGATGCCCCCCAGCCTGTGTTTAGCATGCAGAGGAGCTGGAACAATCCCAGATACAGAAACCTCAGCCCGAGCGACAAGCCGGCTCTCGGTCTCCTCCGAAGCCGCGACACCAACCCCACTCACTGTGCGCAGAGGAAAGACACATCTGAAATGTTGATGTGGCAGCCGGAGCCCTGCCCCACACCCAGCCACAAAGGGAGGCGCTAAATAGTTCATCCGTGCCAATGGCCTTCTCCTGCAGGTTCAGCTCCGTGTCCCTAGGGCACAGGGCGCTGCCCCTCACCCTGAGCTTCAGCATCAGGAGAACCGGACTGGGAGCCTCTGGCCACAGCCTCCACCTCCCCGCCCCGCCGACAGACCCTTCAGCTGTGCCTCAGTCCCTGTTCTTGTACTTCTCAGAAACCTCTCTCCCCATGTCACCCCTAACCAGCAGCGCAGGGCCAAGAAAATGTCTTCATCGCTTTGTACCTGTTTCCAAAATGGGGAAACCATCTTCACCTGTCCTGTCTGAGGTCTCTGGGAAGGCTGCACTGTCAGGGATGGTCAGGGTGCAGGGCGTCCCAGGGTGAAGGGGCGTCCCAGGGCGAAGGGCGTCCCAGGGGACAGAAGACTGGCCTTTGCACGTGAGCCAAGGTGGCCCTCACTGTCCTAGCCCAGCTCCTCCTGCTCACCTCCCACCCGAGTTAGAGGTACCACTTCGGCCTGCGTGTGTGTGACCGTGCCGTCCCTAAGCGGCTGGCTTAGGCCTTGCTAGGCTTTGAACACAGGGTTCTCCATGTCTCTGTGGGCCCCACACCTGCATCCCGTGCGCACGCGGTGCTGACGGAGTTCCAAGCAGCCTTCTCCAGGGTCTGAGATGATCAGCCATGAGAAAAGCCACTGAGTGCATTCCGAGTCTGACTCCACAACTCTGTCCTGCACCCGGGGTAGGTCTGGCCCAGGATTGACTCAGTCAAGAGGCGCCACACCCGAGTCTGGGCCCCTGGGTGTCCCGGTGCCTCCCGCGGTCCAGCATCACCTGAGGCTGCATTTGGAAAGCTGGCACCATGATGATCCCTTGCCTTCCAGAGTAGGCGGCTGTAAGTGTGAGGATCTGGGTGTCCGTTTGCCTTTTTCTCTCCCTACCTCTAGTGACCTTTCCCATCTTTCCTGCCTCTTTGCCCCTAAACTGGGGCACCGTGCAGCCACAGAGTCTAGGCTGCGTTTGGCTCCTCTGTGCCGTCGACCCTGCCGTGGCTGGCATGCCGGGCACACACTCCAGGCTCCGGGTGACTCTGCCATCCAGGAAAGGCAGGCTGGCCCTAATTAGCATAAGCAACTTGCTTTCTTTGGCTGCGTCTGGAGCTGTCGCAGCCTAATGAGCAGATCTGCCAGCTCAGCAGGCGTCTGGCTAACACCGGCCCAAACCCACCCGTCTCAGCTGCTGAAGGCCCCACAGCCCAGACCTCGGCAGCTGTCCGCCTCAGGGCTCACCCTGGGAGCAGGGTGACGGTCAGGCAGGGCCGTGCCAGGACCTCGTCATCAGGGGTGCGGGGCCCAGCAGGGGGCTCATTTTCGAGGGGCAGGGCAGGACCTCCCACCCCAAGTCTCCTCAGCCCTGTGTCCTAGGCGTCCCGCAGAGATCCCGAGCTGCAGAGGCAGCCATTTTCTCCAGCATCAGGAGGCTGTGTCCCCTCCCTGGTCCAAGCCACCATGGCCTCAGGCCTGGACCACGGCCTCTCACTGCTCTGTCCCAGGAACAGAGTGAGAGCAGCCCAGGCACCCCCCCCCAAGACCAGAGAATCAAAGCAACCGCAGGATGAGGGGTGGGGACCACTTTGATCTAGGTGTCCGGAGGAATTTTCAGAGGAGGTGACATTTTAGCTAACAACTTGAATGACAAGGAAAAGTTGGCCAGGCAACAATCTGGAGAGAAGATGTTCCAGGACAGGGAACGGGGTATGCAAGTAAGCAGAGATGGCTTCTTTTAAAAGATAAAGAAGGCTGGTGTGCAAAGAACTTAGCAGGAGGCCGGGACGGGAGTGACCAGATGGGACAGATAAATGAGTTAATGAGTGAGTGATGAGGGCCTCTGGGGCTGGGGTGGCCGTGACCTTTCCGGGAGACATGGGAGTTCGCGTGTCCTCCGCCGCGGTGGAAAGGGTTCCCATGCAGTGGAAGGGAAGGCGGGACCCACAGAGAGGACGGGCAAGACGCGGGCAGGTTCCACAGCGCTCACATAGGGTGGCGCCCTGTGCTGTGGTATTATAAGTAACTGACCGTGAGTTCCATGTGAAGCACGAGGCACATCTGAGCTCCCACGACACGGGGTGCTATCAGCAGCCCATTTTATAGGAAGGAAAGCAAGGCCCAGAGAGGTTAAACCTGCCCCCCAAGGTGCAGACCTATGAGTGCTGGAGCCAGGTGTGGCTTCTGGTCATGGCGGAGAGAGTTTGCCTCCGCCCTTAATGAGAGGCCCAGAGGACCCACTTTTCTGCACGACTGGAAGCCCAGGTCCTGGCCAAAGGCTGTGTGTCTTCCCCTGGCAAAAACATATTCCTGGCACTGGGAGATTTCACTCACCAGACCCGGCCAGCTCTGCGGCTCTCCAGAGTGCTGCCTGTTCGTCTCCTGGAGATACCTGTCACTCACTCGTCTGGGTCGCATGTGCTTAAACCTCCTTCCTATGCTTTCAGAGGCCCTAATTGCTTTAAAGCAGAAGTTGGAAATGCAGGCTGCCAGTCTTCCCATCCTTCCTTGCAGCCAGGGGAACGGGCACGTGACCCAGTTTCCACCAATCAGGGGCGCTTTTCTCACCCTTAGCCTTGAATAGCCAGAGACCCAGGGAAGAGGCCAAAAGGACAAATCGAGATTCTGTTTCGGAAGACTCTGATGGCAGCAGGCGAGCGAGAGACCCTGCCCCTCACTGTGGGGCAGTGAGGACTGGCCAGAGGACTAGACCAGTGGCTGCACTGGGCACTGATTCTGATCTTACAGCCTCTGAGCTTGGCTCTCCCACCCCACAGGAGATAAGGGAACTGGTCAAACACATGTGCCTTTCTGCTTAAATTAGCTGGAATCAGATCCTGCTGCTTTGCCTCAGTACTGTGACGGTCCAGTCATTAGGTCTCGTTGGGTCAAAAAAGACGGAAGCTTGGGCTGCATCAAGCAGATTAAAGGGTGGCCTCAAATTCCCAGCAACAGACATGGAGCCGGACCTTTCTGAGGCCAAAGGGGAGACACTGGGAGCCACTTCTGAGTGTCCGAGGGGGTCCTGCTCCCCACTTCCCTGCCCATGACATTTCCTAGTGACCAAGTGGATCCTGACGGAGAAAGACAAGGACCTACTGTTCTTGGAAGGTATAAAACATGGCGGAAAGAGAAAAGTTTGGCTCTGATTCTGACTTTTCCAATTATTAGCCATCAACCTCTCTGAGGCTAAGTTTGGTCCTCAATAAAAAGGGGTGGGGTAGCAATTTAAATGCCTTCATCGGTGAGTACTAAACACCCAACTCCCACTGGCACAGGAAGTATGTACTTGAAGGTGTAGGTTGGCTTGATTCACAGCTCTGTCTCCTTTCTTGGTGGTTCTGGACGCTCTGCCCTCTTTGGTGTTAACCCTGTCCCCGAGCTGGAGGTCGGATAGCTGCTGAAGTTCCGGTCATCATATATGGTCACAGTCACATCAGAGAAATAGAAGATGTGCTTGCACACCAGGGGTGGGGACAGTTTTGCTAGAGCAGCTCACAGCAGCATCCCACTCCACCCATCTCACTGGGCCAAACTGGGTCACATGGTCACACCCCAGCCAATAGCTGTCACCAACAAACTACCATGTGCTGATTGGTTTAAACCTGACCTCCTGAACCAGTGACTGGCTAGGGTTATGGGATTATCACTATTGGTCTAAACTGGCGTTCTCAGATTTGTTCTCTGGGCCTCTTTACACTTAAAAATTAGAGAAGTCCCCAATCCACCTCTTTTAATGTGCGTTATGTTTATTAGTGTTACCACTGAACAACTAAAACTGCAAAAGATTGAGTATTCAAACACACTACACAGGTTGGCAAAAATAACGCAGTTTATGAATAATTGCTTTCTAATGAAAGAGCAGTGTGAAACGAGACACCTGGTTTTGCACTCTGTCGAATCCCTTAAAACGCAGCTCCCCAGCAGCCAGCAGGCTGCTTTGGAACAGTGTTCTGGTTGCAGCACATGGGGGCAGTCCAGCCTTCTGCAGATGCGCAGTTGGGAAAGGCTGGACCAGCAGTCCTCAGCCCACACTCCAACAACTGCTTTTGTAAACTAACCCTGGCTCAGCCCAGGGCCGGGGGAGCTTGGGAGGAGCCAAGAATCAGGACAAGACTCGGATCTGCTGAGGATGTCTCACAAGGTCAGAACGGGGCTCTGTTCTCAGGAGGGAGACAGTCCAGGACCCAGATCAGATCAAAGCATCCGGTGCCCACATCTGGCTAGCACATTGGAGCTGGAAATCGGATGTCATGTCATCAAGACGCAGGGAAGCAAGCCTTGGTGATCCGGAAAAAGGAGCAAACTCTGTCCCTCCAGCTTGCAGGGAACATCTGGAGCACTCGTTTAGGTATGCACACGCACACTCGTGCACACGCGTGTTCATACTCATACACGGATGCACCCATGCAGGAAGGCAGGAAGGTACACACTGGGCAGACAGTCCTGTGACAGACGGGGAGCACTGGCCCTGTGACATGGCTTCCAGAACAGGCCTTGCAGTCACAAGAGTCCCAGGAGGCAGTGACTTATACCTGGGTTCCTACTTGTACTGGCCCTGTATCCCTTGTAGTTCCAAGTAGTGGTCCTGTATCCCTGTCCCCATAGACTACCAGAATGTCCTAAAACTGCCAGTGTGTCAGCACCCTGATGACAATCCCAGGATTGCACCCTGTACCCACGGGTGGCACAGAAACCTTCCACTGACGGTGAGTGTTCGGACTAGGGGCTTGGGCGGTGGGTGGTACTCTGCTCTGGAGATCAGGAGATGCTGGTTCTAGTCCAGCTGTGCAGTTAATCACTGCCTTCCAGAGTCACTTCCTTCATCGTGTTTGTTCTTGGAGATCCCAGCAATCCCCATTTGTGCCTGAGAGCCATCATCAGTGGGGCCCTGAGCTGAGTGAAGGCCTCAGGGACTCAGCCACCTGTCCTGAGGTCACGGACTCAGATTGTTGTGCTAGGTCAGGTTCACAAGTAGGACCAGGGAGATAAGTTGCCTGCTGAGGGTCAGCACAACTGGGGACTTCGGTCTGTGGTCGTAACTGGTGGTGTGACCCCTCTCATCCCTGGGATCCCCTTGTAGAGCCCTCTTCCTGGGCGGCTCTAGCCTCTGGCCTGGCCCTAGCCAGGTATTTTGCAGGGGATGTATTTGCTGCCCACGGGA